AGCGCTCCCTCGGAGGCGGAGTCGGTGGGCGGCCGGGAGAGGAGGGTGCGGGAGGGTGACAGCGAGGGACGAGCGCGTGAGGAGCGAACTAGTTCGCCTTTCTAAGCAGATCACCCGGGAGAGGAATGGCGAAGGGCAGGTCGCGGTGGAGATGGCAAAGGTCGGGACTCTGTACCTTCTGCCTTGGATATTGGCTTTAATAATGATGCTAAGTCGGGGAATTCTCTTTTTGGGGGTCAGAGGGATTTGAGAAACTGTAATTGAGAAATGAGTCCTAATGGAGAGGAAAGCGAATTTGAATTCTTCGAATGAGCTGGACGAGGTGCGTCGAGGACCGAAGGTGTGGGTGGGGGGGACAGTGATGTGCTGGTACCCGAGTTGTGTTGATGTTGTGGGCCCCGTGCTGCTGCAGCAGCTCGCCTCGGAGCGGAGTGCGGGGTGGGGAATCCTGCTCTTTGGAATGAGTGTACTCACCTGCATCAGGGTTGCTTCCTCAGTCATGTCCCAATTTTGAAATTTACATTCCTTGTGTTTACCCTGGCGAGGTGACGATGGGAGGCGGAACACTGTGCAAAGAGCAACAGGCCCGGGATTTAAAAATGCCAACCAAGTATTCATTCATTCGTTCATCGTATCTTGATCAATAGCGCCTGCTGATGGTCACAGGGGATTGGCTAACTGAAGAGTTGATGGCATGATTTAGTTTTCAGTGTTTTTTTGAAAATGTTTTCGTGTACTTTTTCATAAAGTTATTTATTGGAGGAATCAATTTGCTGGGGCTCAGGAGTAGCCCAATTTTAGAATCTTATGTCTAAATAGGTAAAAATTACAGAAGAAATAACCACAAATTGTTGGAAAAAGAAATAGTCTTTACTTTCTTATTTCGTTAAAATCCCGTGGAAGTTTATTTATTTATTTTAATATTTATAGTACACAGTTGCTTTGCCTTGTTTTAAGCACACCTGTTACTAGAAATCAAGGTTAACACGTACATGTAAATAATATGCACATACATACATAACGGTGTGAATACTTGCAATATTAAAATAAAGTACTATTTCCTTTTGCAAAAGCCTTGCCATATATTGAACTACTCCCCCAGAGAAAATATAATACAAAGAGTCCCGATTCTTCCTTTAATGAAATTGTGACATTTTGGAATATGATCAACCTTTCTGTGCTTCAGTTTCCTCACCTATGATAGGAGGAAAGCGTCTCTCCCAGGGTTGGCTGTTGTGAGCCTAAGAAAGTTAATAGTTATGAAATTACTTTAAATAGGTTGAGAGGGCTATATTTCTGTGAGGTAGTAACAGCTCCCTCTGCCCTTGTGAAATGCTTTATTTGCACATCTCATGGCATTTACACTTTCTACCTTATATTTAGCTTTTTATGTACCTGTTTTATCTCCTCTGGAGGGAAGGATAGGCCCTTCTCTGATTTTATCTTTAAGTTTATGGCAAATTTAAAGAGAAAATCCGAGGATTTTATTTTCTGGGTAGAATATTGATACTGCAATATTTATTAAATGAATAAACATTGCATTCTAATTAGAAAAATGGATTCACATTACAACTTATCCAAATACACTTGTTACCTGTGGTTAACATTCTCTGAGATATCTCTCTCTATATAAAAACCTAATATGCAAATTGTCCCCTCAGGAGTTTGACCAGGAGACTTAGAGTTCGATCACTCGCTATGATGTGTGCTGACCACCAGGGGATGGCATGGAACTAAGGAAGGCCCCAGCTGGCAGCTGGGGAAGGAAGGTCCTGGCCAGCAGCCGGGGAAGGAAGGCCCCGGCTGGCAGCTGAAAGGCTTCAATCAGCCTTGATCGCCAGCCAGGTCTAGGGACCCTACCTGTGCATATAAAAGGCTGATATGCTAAGTGTCCCTCCTACTGTCTGACCCGTCACTATGACACACACTGACCACCAGGGGGCAGACGCTCAATGCAGGAGCTGCCAAGCTGCAGTGACTTGGCGGCTGCAGTTCTTGGGTGACACACCCCAAAACCAGAGAGGAGAGAGCCCAATTCCTCGCGGGGCTGCGCGATTCCACCTTCGGCTGTGGGTCATGTTGTTGCTGGGGCACTGTTGGTCCCGAATCTGGTTTACTGCACACTTGTGTTTGCGTTCCACACCCTATACAACAGCAACTTTGCAGAGTGCCCTCTCGCACTCCAGTACCCCTCGGGGGATGCTGGAGAGCTGATTTTGGCCTGATCCCCGCAGGCCAGGCTGAGGGACCGCCACCTGCCGAGGGACCTCACCTGCTGGAGGGACCCCTCTCACTCTGCAGACACTGGAGAGGGACTGTGAGAGGTTGGCTCCAGGGCGTGTCTGGCCCGTCTCACCCAGTCCCGCCCCGCCAGCCACCTTCTAATTAATTTCCTTTCAGTGTTCACGAATCTGTGCACCAGGTCACTAGTATACTAGTATATATAACTGCCTGTCATGTTGAATTTAATTATACAGTAAGACTTAAGTATTTGGCCTGCCCACATAATTTTTTTAAAAAGGCACAAAATGTTTGAAATTAAAAAATTTGTTTCCAGGCTAGGCAGATTTAGATTAGTTAGGTTTTGTTAAAGCTTTTTAAAAAATTGGTGAAGGATGAAATTTTCTTGCCATTGTTATCTGCAGTGGAAAGCAACGGGCTTTGAATAGGCCAGGAATTGATGTAGGTCAGCAATTTTCAAACTTTTTCTTCTCATTGGCACACAGAAACTAATGACTAAAGTTCTGCAGCACCAACTGACAAAAGAATAGGTATAATTTTGATTCATTCACACTGGATGGCTATTGTGTTGGCTGTTGTCAGTTTTTAATTTGACAATCTAAGGCTATGGTTCTCAACCTGTGGGTCGCGACCCCTTTGGGGGTTGAACGACCCTTTCACAGGGGTCGCCTAAGACCATCGGAAAACACATATATAATTACATATTGTTTTTGTGATTAATCACTATGCTTTAATTATGTTGAATTTGTAGCAATGAAATTGGGGGTCACCACAACATGAGGAACTGTATTAAAGGGTCGCGGCATTAGGAAGGTTGAGAACCATTGATCTAAGGGAAAAGAGGTTAGTGCATGTTTTAAAAATTCTTGTGGCACACTGGTTGATAATCGCTGATGTAGGTAAATGTCAGGATATTTGTTACTTGTTTTTTGTGTGTGTTTATTTTGTTGTTCAGTTTTAATTGTATTTCGTCTTAGTTACAATTTCAAACTCTTAATTGATGGCTGGGAATGATAGAGGTTTCCCATACTTACGTAGCTAGTTTCATCTATTCCTTCCTTCCTTCCTTCCTTCCTTCCTTCCTTCCTTCCTTCCTTCCAAGATTTTTTAAAATAGATTTTTAGAGAGTGAGGGAGGGAGAGGGTGGGGAGAGAGAAAGAGAGAGAGAGAGAGAGAGAGAGGAAGAGAAACATTCATGTTAGAGCGAAACATTGATGGGCGGCTTCCTTCGCTTTCCCTACCTGGGAATCGAACCGGCAACCTTTTGGTGCACAGGACAATACTCAACAAATGAGCCACATCAGCCAGGGTCCGTCTATTCTTTTACTTCACATATGGATTTTACTAGATGTAGTCAATATTCATCATAATTAATTGTGTTGACTTATTGATTAGAGATTCATTTATAGTTCATTGCTTTGTATAACTGGTGTTAAGTGCTTTTTATGTTCAGGGCACATTATTAAGTACTATAAAGTTGAGCAGATTAATATGTGCACAAATAACTCAGTCTGTAGATTGCCTGATATTTT